TAATTTTTTTGTATGATGTTTTACACTTTTCTAAACATATTTATTAAGACTATATTTTAGCATTTTTCAAGTGGATGCCAGTTACAGGTTATCTATATCCTATACGATACCCCTTATCCTCCCTCTTTTTATAAGGTTGACTAAAGTTTTGTGCGATCTTCTTCTGGGAGGACATATGAGCTCAGGCACATAAAGGACAATGGGAAGTAAAATTAAATTTCCATTTCCTTTACTCAGGAAAACAATGTCCAGATATATCTGGAATGAGCACAAGATTAGGCAGTGATATGCATAGTAATACAACTCCTGTCTCCCTGGAATGTTGAATTGTTTAAAAGTTACAGCTGGTAACAATTTCTAGAACCTATACCATATAAATCATAAGTGCATACTAAGTACATTATAGATCATTCAGAAGCATCTCCATAAACATCTCTGAGTTTTGGATCATTCTTTTATTTGTTATAATGACATTTCCAGTACTACTTGATGACATTATTTTCCCATAATACATGCTTCACATTATGTACCCCTCCCTAAACTGGATGCACTGCAAGCCTGGTGTTCCCATTACAAACCAAAAATCATTGTGCTCTCAGAATCATGGTTAATGACTAAAATACCAGACACTGCCATTGCAATACAGGGGTATTCATGTTTTAGAAATTACAGAGCAAAGAGAAGAGGAGGCATTGTTATTTATGTTGACAATTCCATAAAGTTTACCCCTTTACAAAACCTTAGTCCTCCTGCCACCTTTGATTTCCTTTCTGGCACAATTGAGATCCTGTGCAGTAAATCAATAATTGTTGCAGGAATCTACCGCCCACCTAGCTCCCCTGTGCATTCCCTTTCTGACATAGCCCATCTCCTTAGTGAAACCATAGCTCAAAACCCAAAAAGTGAACTGTTGGTCTTTGGAGATTTTAATATTGATTGGCTGAATCCTAAGACTTTGCAGCTAACGCAATTAATCTCCACCCCAACTCGCATAAACATTAAAAGCCATAACCATACCCTGCTAGATTGGATTCTCTCCACTTCTCCTGATAGAATCCAGGAGGCCGGTGTTCTCCTAAACACTTTCAGTGATCACTGTTTAGTGTACTGCGTGCGCAAAATAAAGGCTATTAAATCCTCTCCCAAGGTTAAAATAACTAGGAACTTCAAAATTTTTTTAATCTTGAATCCTTTCTTAATGACATCAAGAACCTCCCATGGCACAGATTAAACATTATCCCAGATCTAGACTGTGTTGTTGTATTCTTTCAGTCTGAACACCTACAAATTTGGAAATGGCATGCCCCGCTGCGTAAGGTGAGGGTAAAAGGAGCACATATGAACTGGATCACAGCTGACCTCATCCAAATGTACCAGTTTCGGGTTTCTTTGTGATCAGTTTTTTTTTTTTATAGTATATTTATTTGATATTTAAAAAAAAATAAAAAAATGACAATACATTTATCTGACCAATACATTGCATTACATCAACACAAACAAAGCAACATAAAATACAAAAACATCCATACTTAATTCATATCGGGGCAGATTTAATACATTCTGTTCAGTCTATTCAGGTTTATAGGGAATTCTTGTTTATTCTTATTTGTTCAGGGTAACGTCTAAATAGTTGGCAATTTCTTTAACCAGTTTTCATATGCGTCTACTTTTTTACTTTGGGAGAGAAAGGTTTCAGCTATAGATTTTTCCATGTTAATTTGTAATTTAATTTGGGAATGGATCTGGTGTTTCTGGAAAGGTATAGAAGATCTCCAGTTTCTAGCTATTGTGATTTTCATGGCTGTAAAGCAATGAACCGCAAAGCATATATCATTACTTGCTTTTAAATTCCAATTTACATGTAATAAAGCAATTTCGGGAGAGAATATTAACTTTATTCCTGTTATTACATGATAAAGGTAAAAAACCCAAGACCAAATTGAATTAACACAAGGGCAAGTCCACCATATGTGGATATATGTACCTGTATCATTACCACATCTCCAACATACATACGAGTTATACTGATGATACATTTTAGCTAATTATTTGGAGTTAAATACCATTTGTTTATAATTTTAGAGTGGCATTCCACCAAATTCAAACAATGGATGTTTTTATATAGTTGTTTCAAAGAGGAGCACCAATCTCCGATGGAGATCGTTGTTTCTAAATCCCGTTCCCAAGAATTTATTATATTTATTGGACTATCATTAAGTAAGTCTAGGAGGAGATTTGCTTTTGAGGTGATCTTATTTATGTGTTTATTATTAAATATGGTTTCCATATAGTGGGAAGCTTTGTGGTCAAAGTTTAAGCGTACTGGCTCTATGAATGATCACTGTGCATATAGACAATGGCGAAATATATGCATAAAACAGACAAAATTGGCCAAGGCCCAATATTTCTATGAAAATCTGAACAATAACATCTCAAACCCTAGAAACTTTTGGAAAGTCATAAATAAACTACAAACTTCCCCAATCCACTCCCAACCCTCCACTGTCAAAGTGGATAACCAAACCCTACAACTTCCCTTAGAAGTAGCAAATGCCTTTAACAATTATTTTGTCGGATGCTCTACTGCCCTGATTGCCAAGCTAATAAATGACACGCATCCTGAAACTACAAATGTGGATCAGGTCCCACTAAATTTGCAAAGGTCCAATACAGACAAGTTCATTTTTAGACCTGTACCTGTTAGTGTCATTAAAAAACATCTTATTAATCTAAAAATGAAAAGCCAGACCAGACCTGATCAAATCCCAGCAATGCTGTTGAAGCTCAGTGCGTTAGCAATTGCTAAACCCGTCGCAACTCTAATTAACGAATCCTTAGTGTCTGTATACATACCCAAACTTTGGAAGACTGCGAGAGTAGTGCCTATCCAGAAAAGTGTTGACACGACTTTGGTTTCTAACTATCGCCCAATATCATTGCTCCCGGTATTGTCAAAAATCTTAGAAAAATTTGTCCATACGCAACTATGTGAGTACTACCAATAATCAAACTATCTGACACCTGATCAATCGGGCTTTCACCAGAATCACTTCACTACAACTGCCCTCTTAAAAGTTTGCAATGAGATCCAAACTGGCATCGAACAAGGAGACCTAACAGGCGCTATTTTCCTTGATTTTGCTAAGGCATTTGACACAGTAGACCACGACATTCTACTGCACAAACTCAAAAACTCAGGTATTGGTGATCATTCGCTAACCTGGTTTTGATCGTATGTATCGGATCGCTCGCACTATGTGTCCATTTCTGACAGCGACTCACTCCCTCTCCCAGTCACGTGTGGTGTTCCCCAAGGTTCCATTCTCGGCCCCCTACTATTTACATTATTTATAAATGATCTGCCTGATGTCTGCAAAACCTCAAATGTACACATGTACGCAGATGACACAGTAATCTATGCGAGCAAATCCAATTTACCGCAGCTTGAGGCTGTGCTCCAAGACCAGTTTACAGAGGTAGAAAAGTGGATCACAAAAAACAAACTCTTCCTGAACACTGACAAAACTGTCACAATGATCTTTGGAACAGTACCTAAATTACACAAATTACACAATTCCCACCTATCCATCAAAACAAATTCAAATAGCACACTGACCGCAGTCCACTCTTTCAAATACTTGGGTATGATATTAGACCCCAATCTATCTTTTGGCCTGCACATAGAAAAGCTTGCATCTAAACTTTATCCAAAACTAGGTGCCCTGTACAGAAACAAATCCTGCCTAAGCCCTACAGTAAAGGAAAAGATTGTACAGCAAATGTTGATGCCAATCATTGATTATGGGGATGTGGTATATGCAGCTGCATCGCAATCCCACATTAATAAACTCAACACATTGTATAACTGGTTCTGCCGATTTGTGCTACAATGTAATTACCGGACTCACCATTGTGACATGCTAAAAGAACTAAACTGGCTGTTGCTGGAATCCAGACGCACCCTTCATCTTTCCAGCCTTGTGTTTAAGAGCTTTTCTGGGAAACTCCCACCCTACCTGAGCAAAATGCTCTCCTCGGCTGTTCCCACCTCCTATAACCTCCGATCCAGCACCAGCACTTTATCTAGTCTACCTCAATACAAAAATAAAGTAGCCCGATCCTCCTTCTCCTACAGAGCACCGCAATTGTGGAACGACCTCCTGCACCATTTAAAATCTTCCCTAAGCCTAAAGTCCTTTAAGAGACCCCTCTCTACATACCTCAAAACCGAATGCACCTGTCGATTATATATTTCCTACCTGCTCTATGTTACATTTTGTATATATTGTGTATTAATATTGTTTTTGTATTTTATTGTACCCTAATGTAACAATGCTATGATTTGTGGACCCAGGACATACTTGAAAATGAGAGAAATCTCAATGTATCTTTCCTGGTAAAATATTTTATAAATAATAATGTACCCACTCTCCCTTATCAATGTGACAAATAATGGAAATATAGGAGGATGTCAGTTAATGTATGTTATTGTTTTAATGGTGACAAGACAAGGGTGTTTCTTTTTCTTTTTCTGCTTGTTTTTTTTGTTTTTGTTTCTGAGTAGGCACATAAAATAGAAAAATAGTAGGGGTGGAGCCTGACAGCCAAGATGGCCAGACGTGTCTCACACTAGCTTCTGCTGATCTGATCCAAACTCTTGGTTTCTTTGAACACAGGCTTGCTTTTCAAACACAAAACCTTGCTCATAGGTGCTTATAACTGGCAGCAGATCGTCAGACTTACTCAGATCGCCCGGCTCGAGCCTGTACCGCATCTGTAGTATGCTTGGCCTTGCAGCCTTCTGAAGTGGCCGTCCTGAAAGCCGAGAGAAGCGGACGATCTCCTAGACCAAGGACAGCACCACATCTCAGCTTGTGGTGGCCTCTTTACCCCCCCCTCGTTGGGCCGGTGGGGGATATCCCAGTCCCCACTAGGGCAGCTTAAACCCCCCACTGACCTCGAGCGAAATACTACGGAGTCGACTGCTTGGGGGAGCCAAGATGGCCGCTGCGCATCTGCACCCTCACGTTACAACAAGCTTTGGAGGTCAGGAGTGGAGAGAGCAATCCAAGGAAAAGTTTGATGCACTCTATTCAAAATGTTGGCACCGCCTGCACAGCAACCCCCCAACCATTGTGGCACCAACAGTCACTGATGCGACTCCTTGCTCTTGCACCGGGTTGGCGGCTCCTTGGATACTTACTCCTCCAGGTACTTCACCAATGCCCACAGCTGCACCAGCTTCCCGTCACTCTTCTGGCTGCTGTCCTTGGGCGGAGGGGACATATGACAGTCCTGAAGAAGACCAGTACTTTGAAGCCTGGACGATCAGTGGCATAGGGTGATATGCTCCAGGGCGGCATCGTACCATGCTCCTGTTTCCAGTGCTGAGAGAAGTGCCTCACTCGTTTGCCTTCTGTTTTATTTGCCTCAAGTAACCTCATGTTTCTTTTCTAGCTTACCCAGTGGTCTTACTAATCACTTTCATTGCCAGCATGTACCGCCTGTAGTTTTGAGCACTCATTCGTTCTCTGGCATGGATCTTCTCACTATGCCAATGCTCTTACTTATTAATCTTGTTTCGTACATTTTACACACACAGCTCTGCTTGCTCATGCATTAACCTGAAAATGTACATTTAATGCCTATCTTCTCACGTTTCTATCATAAAAATTATGCATGTCCTTGCTATTACTCCAAATGTACTACGGGATGCTATGCCTGACGATTGCCTTTGGGGTACCACAAGCTTGTATGTAATAACCTTATGCACTGCAAAAAAATAAAATAAAAATAGTAGTGTTATACACTTCTATCAGTCATATACTATATTTTTTGATACTTTGGAATGTAGAGCCAACAAGCTCGTTAACAAAAATAAAATAGAAAACCAAGAGTAAATGATGTAGGTCCTCAGTCTGAAATTCTGTTTGATAATTTTAGACCTGTTTAAACATTATAAGTGACATGAATGGAGAAGCATATTAAGGACGTTACTATAATCAATTGTAGCAAGAAGGCAGCTTCTCATTCTACATGTATGCAGCTGTATAAACAGACACAGATAGAAAGCACAAATATGTAAAAATGTGTTTGAGTTACTTGTGGAATGTGCAGTAAAATAAATATAAAAGGGGGGGGACAAAAGGAAAAGCTATAACCAAATAAGGGTAGCAGGGAGCACTCTCTAGAACACCTATCCTGCCCTTCAAGCAGTATAATGCTCTCAAGGTATCCAGACTTCCCATAGTGTTGTGAACTGAGGCAGGCAGTTAACATATGGCTCTCTTGCTACCCTAGATGCTTGAGAAGTTTATACACATATGCTAGGTGATGCATATGCTATAAAACTTGAAGCATGTGATTAATAGTACATGGTTGCAAATTTAGTGTGCCATATGTATGTAAACTACATTTCCCTTGATGTTCAGCTTCACATAATTATGTCAGGCTTAAAGCAGCACAAAACCTAAAAACATCACAGCTCAAGGCCATTCATTCAATGTTCACTTTGCAGGAAAATAAAATCAAAATGTCAAAATAAAGACTGTGTGCCAAACGTTTGCCATTATAATTTTAATTCACTACAAGTTTGAGTTTTATGAATAAACAGCATTGTCTGTGACACCCAGGGCTGGCGCTAACATAAGGCGGCACAGGCGGCCGCCTTAAGGCACGCCGGTCCGAGGGGCACAAATATCAGGGTGACAGGCAGGAGAGAAGTGCACATTGCTCCTCTCCTTCTGGTCATTTCCTGTAGCGTGGCCGAGCGCTAGTACCTCTCTGGACTAAAATAAAATTTTAATGTTAAACAATTTTAGAAGTTGGTATGTTTGTCTTGTAGGTTTAGTAGCCATCACAGAAAACAAAATTGCCACACAAAAGTATATATTTATATAAAGTAGACATCACAGGCTATTTACCTAAAGTTAGTTTGACACTTTTTACATTGCCATTTCATTGCCAATCTCTGCTAAATATTGAAGTAAATTTGAGTTTTTTTTCTCTATTTTGGCATATACACATATAGCATGGTTTTTGTAATGTGTATTTCGGAAAGCTGGTGTGTGCTATTCCTGCACAGAATTGTGCTCAGCTACATCTGCTGAGTATAACGATACCCCCATTGTATGCCTTTGGCACTATTCTGTGAAGATACAGTGCCATATAAGAGACAAGGCTGTTTCAGTTTCTATAGTTAGAATTTTCATAGATTGATTTGATGGACCTATGTCTCATTTTAGGGTATTATAGTAGTGTGCCTGTTCAAATAACCCCACTAAAGACTTTCATTTAATGAAGCAGACACCCCGGGGTATCCTATATGGTGTATATTGTGCCTTAATTTGTCACCATTTCTTCACCAATTTAGGTCAATGTTTGTGGTGAGGGGAAAAAAATGGCATTTTTACATTTATGTTGCATTTTTGCTGAGTATTTCTTACACTTGATATGTACCACTGTCATAAACCCCCCAAAATTATGCTCAGTTACATCTTCTGAATAAAACAATATACCCAATGTATGACCTAGACACTATTTTATGAAGTTACAGTTTTGTAAAAGAGACGTGACAAGTTCAGATTTTTAAGAGTGAATTTTCATGGAGGGTTTTGAAGCGTTCGTGTCCCACTTTGGAGCACTTGAGGAGAGTGAAAGACAACTTAAGGGACTTGACGGGAGCCTGGCCCTTGCCTGCAGATACACTATTCCCTTTCCAAGGGCGTTTGCGCATTACTTCCTCCTGAGAGTCCTCTGAATCTGAGAGCAAGCGCGCAGTGGGGTTAACTTCGGTAGAAGTTTTGTCTTGAAAGGCTACTAACGCCTTGGGAATAGATTCTACAATAGTAGAAACGAGTCATGCTCGAAGTTCTTGTGAGATGGCAGGCTTAGTGTTATCAGACATGTTGAGTCTTATTGTTGTAAACTGACAGTAGTCGAATAAAGGGAACTGTGCAATGAATGGGGGTCACCCAAATGAGATCAGTGATATTTGTAAGGACGGCAACACAAATAGTCAGTGGGGTTAGCCACTAGAATTACAGTAACTGGATTGGTCCACTATAATATTAATAGCAAGTGGGGTCACCACTTGTAAGGGGTCAAACAAAGTGGGTGTGGCAAACCTAGCCACTTTTAGGTTACTGGACTGTATCTGCAAAGGTTGTCTGTATAAGCCGCTGGACTGTTATATTGTAATATATGTATGTACAGCTATGTTCTGAAGCATTCGTACGCTAGCAGCCGAAAGCTGCTAGCATTCATGTGTTCGTTTCACGAACAGGGACTTTACCGGCTGTTCATGAAACGAATGAGATACCACCCAGGAGCCAAACACAGAGGGTCATGTGGCACCCATTAACCGATTGCAACATTGTTGCAATCGGTAGGTAATTGCGTTCCTAGGTGGCCGTCGTTCGGCTACCGACCACGCGGCGGGCGGCCATCTTGGATCCTTTGTTTCCCCAGCGGTGTTTGGTCGTCGAGCGCGTGGAACTGAAATCGGCTAATCGACGGCACGAACACGGCTGGGCTTCCAGGCCGTTCGGGAGCTCCAGTCTTTCACTATTCTGGTTCCCCATCGGTGTTCAGTACTTTTAGGCGAACATAATGTTAAAGTGTATTTCGTGCGGCGTTCGGTTATTTGTGCTGGGATCTGAGCGGTATTCTCACGAAATGTGCGCTCAGACCCCAGCTATCTACCGAACGTCCATTCGTTTAAATAATGTGAATGATAGAAAAGTTATCTATTTTAATGTAAAATGTTGGTTCTGCTGCACAGGGATAATCCACTTAACGGTATATTCCAGTGGGAGTATCACTCTCGTCCAGCAGTGCCTGATGGGAGAAATGTCCAGAATGTTAAGTCCCCCATGTAGTCCCCTACTGTATCACCCCTGCAATGTCAGTAGGGAAACCCCTTGCATGGGGACTTGCATAAATACTGTGACTTGTAAATAAAAGCTCAGTTGAATCCCAGAACTGTGTTTCATCCGGTTACTGGGGGATTTGGGATATTGCCTTACTTTTCAGCACTTTACTTTGGATTACCTTCTGTACCAGCGGAGATCGTGGAATTTAATATTGCAGCTCCGCTACAGTGGGTATGTCCACAATATTAGAAAATAAAGAGTGGGGTTACCACTGTTAAATCAGTAGGTGGAATTCACCTGTAAGTAATATTATCTGAAAATTAAGTGGGGGTTACCACACTGCAATATTGGTGTTGGTACACCTTAAAGGGACACACACAACTCCCACTACCCTTAACCCTGCAAGTGTAATTATTGCAGTTTTTTTATAAAAACTTGCAGAGTTAAGTCCTCCCCTAGTGGCTGTCTACTAGACAGCCACTAGAGGGCACTTCCGTGTCTATAGCACAAGTTTTCTGTGCTAGAGCATCGCTGGATGTCCTCACGCTGTGTGAGGACCTCCAGCGTCAATCAAGTCCCCATAGGAAAGCATTGAAAAGCATTTTCAATGCTTTTCCTACGGAAAGCTCTACCACCGGCTGATGTAAGGAAGGGGAGGAGCGGCAGCTAACCGAGGGACATTGGCGGGGGTCTCAGGTAAGTGACTGAAGGGGTTTTCACCCCTTCAGCAACCGGGGATGGGGGGTGGGAGGGAGAGGGGACCTGTAGTGCCAGGAAAATGGATTGTTTTCCTGGCACTGGAGAGTGCCTTTAACTGAGTAACAATAAATTATAGGTGGGGTCACCCACAATAAAACTCAGAATATATACAGAAAAGGGTAAGTGGGGGTCTCCCACAAAGCCCTCCTTTATTATTGAAATAAAATTCATAGCAGGTCTGGTAATTTCGTTGTGATCTGTTAAAAATAAAAACAGATAAAATACGAGTAACTAACTAATAGAATACTAGCACAGTAATTGTAGGCGGGAAGGGAACCGTGTCAGAAGTGCAGACGTGAATGGGTGGGAAAGTCAAAAGGGCGCGAAACAGCGTTTAGCCGCGGACTGATAGGAAATAGAGTCCGCAGTATTAAGGAAAAAAGAGTGAGGAAGTTGGGTTGCGGTCTCTTACTGAGGAGAGAGTCCGTGGCCATTAATATAACGATCGCGAGGAAAACCCCGCAAACACCCACTGGCCGGGGGATTTAAAGAGATGTGTGTGCACTATAAATAGAGGAAAGTAGCAGAGTACCAAGAAGGCTGTTAATTCAATAGGAAACAAGACTAAAACTGACACATATTACTGAAAAGGCAAGCAGCAAACAAAGAGGAATTGGGAGGAGCTTGATCACATTATATGATATTGTTATGCACTCTAATTGGTTAAACTTTTTACATCATTGATAACTATTAATTTACTGCTGGGATGTTCA